TTTTGGAGCTCTGTCCTGAACCTGTTTTGTCTGGTATTGTGTGTTACTGCTCATGGAGATCTTCACTGCACCTCTACCGTATGCGCCATCAAGCCGCACCTGTTACACAGTCTTTTGCTAAAGAAATTCATTTCATGATCGATGGACGAGCATGATTGATGGATCTAATGAAATACCACACCAAAAAACATCAACAGATTTGACTGAAAGAGACAGAGAAAGAATGTTGTCTATATCCAGGCAGAAAACACTTCAAAGGAGTTACAGTTTTGTCCTCCAAGATAAAGGCCATCCCTGGAACAGCTCAGAGAGAGATCAGTGGATTTGTTGGAAAAAGCACAGGAAGCTGTGCTTACTTGGCTTCAAAGGGTCCTAACACCCTGCATCTCAAAGGCTGTGCCTGGGGCAGGGCTGCAGTGCCCCAGGGACAGAAGAATGGGGTTGGCTCATGGCTTCCATGGATGAGAATGAAGCAGCCTAAAGCCAAGGGAGGCATCTGAGATGGTCTGGAAGGCAGAGGAGCCTTCACCCAGAATCCAGAGGCCATGGCCAAGACCTAGAATGTGGAGGGCATTTCCCATTACCCAGATGGCCTCAGAGCTCATGTACTTTGTCCTGCTGGATTTTGAACTTGTTGCTTGCCTAGGATCCCCTTCCCGCCACTGTTTACAATGGAAATGTCTACACTGTGCCTGTTTCACCAATATACAAAAATCCCCCCCTTTACCTGCAGGAAATATGTTCCAAGGCCCCCAGTGGATACCAGAAACTGTGGATCATACCAAAGCCTGCACTGACTGTTTATTCCTATACAGGAGTTGTGGCGTGCTGCTGCAGGTTAATGTGGGCTGCAAGGTTGGCTTGAAGCACAAGTTCAGCAGTTCAAGCTCATCAGCCACTCCTCGGATTGGAAACTTCATGGCACTTCACAACACCTATATGTACAAACCTGTCAATCTGATAACCAAGACGGTCACCTGGGAACCTAACATGATGTCTCCCCTGGGCAGGACGAGCAGGATGGCAGATTTCATCATGCTTAGAATAGCATTCCATTTAAAACTTATGTTTATTTTGGACTGCATTTGACCACTGTTAAGTGCAGTTGAGTGGGTTTTGTATCATAGTGACCCTGGATAGGGCTTCTGAGTGGCTGGTGGTCTGAACCGCCTATTTTACAGTTTGAACTGCCCTTGTGGTCCAGTGCAGTACCCCGCAGTATCGCACTAGGACTCCACGGGTAAGGGGTGCTGCTGTACTTCAGATTTAGCCTGTATTCTAGATTCCACAGGTCCACAGAGAGAACTTTACTCCAGGACGAAAGACACCCAAAGGCTCACCCTAATATAATCTCGATGAGTCAGAATATGCAATTTTGAACTTGAGTGTTGATTTGAATTTTTGGGATGATGTGATAGGGTGAATGTGTTTTGCATTTGACAAGGGCATGAGATTTTGAGGGCCAAAGGATGGGATGTTATGGATTCGATCCCCTCAAAATATGTACTGTATGAGATGTATGCTACCATCTCATTTAGGTATGGGTTGTCTGTTATATTAATAAGGCAGGATCAGCATAGCATGTGGAGTTCTGGTGGGGTGCTGTGGGATAAAGCACTCAATGGACCACAGGTTGGTGTGAACCACAAGGTTAGCAATTCAAACTCGCCAGCTGCTACTTGGAAACCCTATGCAGGGTCGCTAAGAATCAGAATTGACTGGGCAACACTAACAACATAGTATAAGGTGCGGAGTCCTGGTGTGGCACTTTGGGATTAAAGCACTGAACCTCAAAGTTCAGTTTGAACCACAAGGTCAGCGATTCAAACTCACCAGCTGCTCCTTGGAAACCTTATACAGGGTCGCTGAGTTGGAACTGATTTGATGGCACCTAACAGTTAACAATTACAGGGTGTATGTTGGGTCAATCTGTCTTGAACTGTAAGAGATTAAACAAGTAAACAGTGGAGAAATGGGATATGGTAGACGCCAAGACACAGGAAGATCTCCAAGGCACCAAGCAGGAGCTGAGACCAGGACCTTCCTTTAGAGCCCACAGCTCCTCAGAGCCTGTACTCTGAAATTCAGGCAGCTAGCCTGAAGTGAAAATAAATTTCTGCTTGTTTTTAAGTCACCTAACTGTGCTATTTGTTACAGCAGCACTAGGAAACAAAGACACTTTCTTGTATTTTTTAACATGGAGTCCATTCTTTCCAAAAACGAATCAGCTTGATATTTTAACTCTGCCCCACATCCTGGTCTTCTCGTTTCTCGAGTGTGCTGGGCTCCCTCCTACCCCCGGTCCCAACCACCCTACCTCAGTGCCCTACTGCTACAACTAGAAGTACTCACATAACACCCCATACCCTGGCTTGGCCAGTCTCGCATTCACTGGCCTTCAACACATGCTGGTCAGATGAGCAGACCCTGAGTGGGCCAAATGTAGCTGTGTGTGAGGCTGAGTACACTGAAGTCCCCATAAAACCCGAGTGCACCAACTGTGCTTTACCCACCTTTGGCTTCCTAGACTCGAACCTCAGTCCGGAACACCGCAGTCAATATTTCCAGGCGGGTGGGGATTCTCAATGTACTCCCAGCCTTCCCTCCCTGGACCTAGAGCACATCACTCTGCTTCAAAACACGCAGATCACCGATCACCCAGCATCCAGGGGAAGCCTCAGAGTCAATCCCGACCCTCATGAACAGAACCTCTATTGCCGGCCCTTCCTAGTCCAGAGTGGCCACAGGCACCTATCCATGGTCAGCCTACTTCAGGTGGTCAGAGGGCTTGCCCTAGCTCTTGGTTTGGAGACAATATTAGTAGGGAAAAGGGCACAGGCTTTCCCAACCAGAGCCCGTCATGCTGGGGCCTCTCCTCTGGGGCTGTGTGGGGACTTAGGGTACCCTCTGCACTTATTTCTGTCCTCTAAAGCTCGGACAGGCTGGATGACACATTAGGGTGTGGGAACAGGCACAGGAGACTATGCACACCCTACCAGGTGATATGACCTGGTCTAGCTGAAGCCAGAGAAACATGATCCGGGGAGACACAGCCCAGCTTCCCAAGGCTTAAGAATGCACCTGCCACATGACAAGAGAGTCTCACCGGTGAGCCCTGAGATCCTAAACAAGCCCAGTTCTCTGGGCTTCAGCACCCTCATCTCTCCAGTGTAGCCAACAGCCGTTGCCAGAAGCGATCAGGGGAACACTCATTACTGCACCGGAGTCCTCTGCCTACCCATCCCCCGCTGTTCCCACTAGGGACCCAGTTCAGAGATCACTGACTACTTCGGTCCACGGGGGAATCACTAGAAGCCTGAACTGCCCAATACTGTCTGCTCCCTGGAGCACTAACCCACTTTAGGGCAGAGCAAACATTCACATAAACATCCACCTCCACGGGCACTGCTGGGCTGGCAGTTGGCTTTCCTTGTGCAATGTCCTAAGTGCTCCTCAGAGCATTCTCTGCAGTCAAACTCATGGAGCAGCAAGGAAGACCACCTGGGTGGTGCTCCAGCCCTGTGTTACGAGCCCTAGCCCAGGGGTCTCTCTGGGTCTGTCTTCATCCACAAAACAGAGAAACAACATCGTCACTGGAAGTTCTCAGGGGAAGAGAAGCTTTGGGACAGTCCTCAGAACACAGACCATAAACCTCAGTTCCCACTGCCCTGGCTGCACATGTCACTGCAATCTAGGATATGCCTTCTGACACCAGCCCCGCACCAGACAAGGCCTAGCTTCCCAAAAATCCTCAGTGGAGGAGCAGGAAATGTCAACCCCCTAACCCTGAGGTCCTCCTAACCCCAGACCTACAGCGCCCTGTCCAAGCACACCCAGGGGCCCCACCCCTTCCTCTGTAGGGGCCTTGGCTAGGTTAAGGATTACTCAGGCGCTTCCCTACCTTTTGCCCCCACTCTCAGCCTCTCCCTCCCTCCCCTCATGTCCCCTGCCTGCCTCGTGACACCTTATCAGAAGGTGGTGGTGACCGTGATCATCAGCAGCAGGGGGCAGCTGACCCAGAGGCATGGTCCAGGTGCTGAGTCAGCATGGGACCCCAGGACAACAGAGCCACAGCTGCACCCCTCCTGCCTGTGGGGGCCCCAAGAGGCAGCTTGAGCAGCTCAGGCATGAACTGGCTGAGATGACAAGGTGTGGCGCACTGTGGTGACCCGTACGTTTACTACGCGTATACACACACGTACAGAGCTGTGCAGGACACGTTATCAGTGGCTGCCTGAAGAATGGGAGATTCCTTCTCCTAGTCCCCTGACTTCACCATTTGCATACATTTGGGGGTACACTTTCCTAAGGTGGATAGAATATAATTTCCACGTTGCCAGGAAGGGAGGCACATCTGTCAGCTAGGTGAGACCCAGATGTGGCCCCAGAGGTCTCTAGGAGCTGGGCAGTATGGCCAGAGTATAACAGGGTTCAGACGAGGCTGACAATGATCCAGGGTTCTGTTCTTCATGAGCCGCACTCTGTTGACCACACAGGACACTACAGGCAGCAGCCTGAGCCCAGACGCCAGGCGTCCCATTCCCCCACTGCCAAGGTTTCAGAGGACAGTTCCTTTCTGCATGCTAGAGGCACAAAGGGCCAGCTACACCTTTGTCCTGTAAGGGGCAAGACGCCAAGTCCGCCTTTTCAGTGGTACTGTGTGTGCCTCTGCGGTGCCGGCCACTCAGCTCAGGAGTGGGCAGCTGCAGGTGTGGACTTCTGTCCTCGATGCTTGAAGCTGCGCAGTGGGTTCTGAGCTTTCCCCTTCTGTGATGGTACAAAGCAGTGGTTAGTTAGGACACAGAGACAGATGCTCAGAGGACAGGGCTGCCACCTCCTGTCTGGTGCTGGATTCTGACAAGGACAGAGTAATCCTCCATGCTCTGCTATCTCCCCTCCCTCAGCACGAGCCATGGCTCCTCCTGCTACCACTCCCCTCACATTCTCCAGTGGAGATGGATGAAGGACACCTAGGGACAGAACAGCAATCTCTCTTTTGTTCCTGACATCACTGGGACTGCTCCCAATCCATGGAATTCCAATCTAGCTACTGGGAATTCTGGAGCAGTTGTCTGGGGCCCTCCCACCTGCTTCCCGAGGGCAACGTGAGCTCAGCAGCAACTGGGGAAGGGCTGAAGAGAGGCAGCTGCCCTGTCAGACCCACAGCGGGATACATGTACCTTGACCTTCCGGTAGGAGGAGGGGGGCTTCTTCCGCTTCTTGTGAGGGTGGACGAGCCCACGCAGAGTGGGAGGGACTGGGGAGAGATTACAGCTGCTCAGCAAAGCCCAGAGCCCTCAGTGCCCCCTCCTGACTGGCCCCAGATGCCTGTGGGTCCCTGAGATCCTCCTCACAGTTCCTCCTCCTCACCATCCCGGCAGCTCCATTACTCAGAGGCTGGTCACCCTCAGCAATGTCACAGATGGTACCTTACACACTACAGACCAACAGTGCCCCCCGTGTGCACAGTTACCTCACACACTGCACACTAACAGTGCCCCCGTGTGCACAGTTACCTCACACACCTACACACTAACAGTGCCCCCCTGTGTGCACAGGGTTCCCTCACACACCTACACACTAACAGTGCCCCCGTGTGCACAGTTACCTCACACACTGCACACTAACAGTGCTCCCGTGTGCATAGTTACCTCACACACCTACACACTAACAGTGCCCCCGTGTGCACAGTTACCTCACACACCTACACACTAACAGTGCCCCCGTGTGCACAGGGTTCTCTCACACACCTACACACTAACAGTGCCCCCGTGTACACAGTTACCTCACACACCTACACACTAACAGTGCCCCCATGTGCACAGTTACCTCACACACCTACACACTAACAGTGCCCCCATGTGCACAGGGCCCACAGTGGGCAGTGAGCACCAGGACCACCAGCACCTGAACCACGCTTCCCTAGTGCAGACACATGCTGCAACAGGCATGTGAGACACAGAGGGAATTAAAGGCACTTCTTCCTGTGTGCCCACTGCCCCAGGCCCAGCCTCCACTGACATCACACGTGGCCCAGCCCACCTGTAGGCCAGCGTCCCCTCAGTCATCTCACTGAGCCCTCCTGTGCCGGGCACCCAGAACTGCCTTCCAGATCCTGGCCTTCCCCCAACGTCCACGCCACAACCCATCACTGAGGTCAGCTACCCCCCAGGTCAGCTCTAGACCTGCTAAGGGCTGCACTCACCCAAGTAGTCAGGGACATTGCCCAGCTGCGGCTTCACGACTGCAGGGTGCAGGGGCAGGTCGTGTCGCAGCAGTTGCAGGTCGCGGGGGTTGTCCTCAAAGTACGTCTGACATGGGGCAGAAGAAGATGCTATGGGGTCAGCGGCATTCTGGGTCATTTTACCAATTCTCACTGAGTGGGAAGGGCCCACCGTGAAGCTTCCTGACCTCCTCAGTCCCAGTTCCCCTCCCTCAAGCAACCACTTTTGTTTCCTTCTGGGAACACACATGTTCACACATGCGTGTGACACAGGTGTTGTGGTTGTCAAGTGCAATGGAGGCAGTTCCAACTAATAGCAACCCTGTCTAGGGTTTCCAAACAGTGACTGGTGAGTTTGAACCGCTGACCCTGTGGTCCCTTGCTTCTCCCGCAGCACCACCCCAGGACTGGTAACAGCACTCAGCAGCAGGCTGTACCCTCTTCAGCGTCTTGGCCTGTCACAGGACCCCTCATTCCTTCCCACACAAGCAGCCTCTGACTCGTCTACGACTAGGAACATCTGACGCTACAGATGCCCCATCACCTACTGAACGAGCCCATAAACACTTGGCCTCTCAGGCTGCCATGGTCTTGTTACAGCAATAATGTTGCCACAAATGCAAGCCCACCCTGGCTTTCTGGTCCTTAGTGTGTAACGGACGGACGCATTACGAGATCACAGGTCACTGAGTTTGTGATTTTGGGGGGGTGGAGGGGTGACACACAGATGGCTCTTTCCCAGTCCTCACGTCCTTGGCAGCCTCCTCCCCACCCACCAGCTAAGACCCCAGAAGGCTGGTTTCCAAGTCCCACACTCACTACCCTCACCTTGAGTTTCTCTGAGCGTAAGAGCTCTTCTTTCACCTCCTTCAGCCTTGCCTCTCGGATGGCTTGCTTAGTCACTGAGCGCATGGCATCCTGGGAGCAGACGTGGCCATCAGCACAGTGCAGCAGCCGCACCACCCTCTTCATTCCTAGGTGCTCCACAACAATGACGCCTTCCTCCAGCCCCTCTCCCACCCCATCCCACTCACCCTGCAGCGATAACGGAAACCTTCAATCTCCTCCATCTGGAACTGGTAGGGAAGGAGGACAGGGGCTCCATTCTCTGTGGACAAGGCAGCAAAAGAATCCATCCAGGCTGGCCTAATACACATGTCCTCCCTTCACCACTGTGGCCCAGTGCCCAGAACATGATGAGGGCAGTGCTCCAGGTGTGAACACAAAGCACAATGGGCACCACGGTACACCGTCACCTCACAGAACACGAGGGCAGAGATCCTAGGTGTCACCACGAAGTATACTGGGTACACCGTCACCTCACAGAACACAAGGGCAGAGCTCCTAGGTGTGTGTACAAAGCACACTGGGTACCACGGTACACCGTCACCTCACAGAACACAAGGGCAGAGATCCTAGGTGTCAGCACGAAGCACACTGGGTACCACGGTACACTGTCACCTCACAGTACACGAGAGCAGAGCTCCTAGGTGTCAGCATGAAGCACACTGGGCATCATGGTACACCGTTACCTCACAGAACATGAGGGCAGAGCTCTTAGGTGTGAGTACGAAGCACACTGGGTACCACGGTACATTGTGTCACCTCACAGAACACAAGGGCAGAGCTCTAGGTGTGAGTACGAAGTACACTAGGCACCTCGGTACATTGTGTCACCTCACAGAACAAATAGTCTGCTCCTGGCCAAAGCCCAGGGAAGTGAGGCTCTTACCTCCAGTGAGAAGCTCTTCAATCTGGCCCAGCTGGCCCTGCTCTGTGGGCAGCAGGAAGGTCAAGACGACACCTGGGTTGTTGGCACGAGCTGTCCTGTGAAGAGAGAGAGGCGCCTGAATCTCCCGCCACAGGCTCAGGCCCACCCAAGTCCTCCAGCATGCTGACCGGCACCCTGTCCCGCAGCCACAGTGCTACCTGCCAGCTCTGTGAATGTAGGCCTCAGGGGTGGTGGGAAGATCGAAGTTGAGCACTAGAGACACCTGGTGGAAGTCTATGCCCCGGGCCACACCACTCTCAGGATCTGAAGCTCTGCAAAGACATCGGCCTGTTCTTACCTCCCTTAACGAGCAGCCTTAGCGAAATCACCTCCCCAAACTTGTCTGTGGGACCACAGCACCCTATTGTCTGCAAGATCTTTAAAATTAGAACTGCTCTGGGAGTTGGAGGTAGGGTGAGGCAGCTAACACCCTCCAGCTTGGCCAAACCCTTTCTCCAACCCTGGGTAATACTTCAGAACATGGGTGGGGAACATCCAGCCCTCGGCCCAGGCAACAGCAGTTCCAGCCACCACATCGTTGTTGTTAAGTGCCATCCACCCTGTGAAGGGTTTTCGAGGAGCTGCCAGTAGGTTTGAACCACCAACCTTGCAGTTCAACCGGCTTTGCAGTCTGGCGCATTAAACTCACAGCACCACACCAGGACTCCAGCCACCACCTTAGGGGTGCATTAATGAAATGTTTGACCAAACACAACAGGTTAATTTGTAAGTTGGTAATTTTGTAGGGCCTGAGACTAATGCTATGAATATCCAAATGGCCCTTGGCAGAAAAAGGCTCCCCACCCCTGCTGTTACACAGTAAGCTCTTGCCCTGGGTCACACAGAAAGCATTCCTCTTCCCAGCCTACCAACAACTGCCCCAAGTGGAGCTCAGAGACCTGCCCCACAAGTCACCACCTCAGCCCATGCCTGGCTGAGCATGCCTTCCCTTGTAGGGCAGCGTATGCCAACAACGGGGCAGTCTGGACCTCTGGACTGCCCAGAGTAACGTAGTGGGTGTCTTTACCCTCTTCGCTATACCAGCCAGGCCTCCAGTATGGCCTAAACATTTAGCCCCACCCCCCAAGTCCCCCCAGCCCCACACTCTGGCTTGGTGCTTCTCCGAGGAGCCGACATACAGGCCTCTCAGGTGGGCTGGGAGAATTCAGAGGGCCTCACCTGTCTCCTTTGGCTCCTCTGCCCGGACGTTTGCCCTTGACGGGGGCCGCCAGGACTTCGGCATCCGTGGCTATGACACAGTCATAGAAGCCCTGGTTGAACTGTGAGATGATATGGCACCTGTGGTCGACATCAGGGGTTAAGTCCCACAAAGCATCAAGGCAGAGGTTAGCCCCCACATCTCCCACACAGCACCACAGGGCCACCCGTTCCTCATCTTCATCGCTCCCCAACTTAGTCCTGATGCCTCACCATCCTACGTGGTGTGTCAGGGCTGTGTGTGAGCAGTCAGTTCAAGCCCACCAAGGTCAGTGCCGGCCCTAGGAAGGGCTGAAGAAACAAGGTCTCCCTTTCCACACTTGGACTTATGTCCGCCAAGACAGTGGGAGCAGCGAACCTGGAGCGCAGTGGCAGCTCCCCGTTGAGTACGCAGGCAGGGATGCTGAACTGCTCCAAGAACAGGCGGAGCCGGTAGCCCCGCTCCAGAGTGCTGACAAATATCAAGGACTTGCCCTGGATCAACGACAGCTTGAGAAGGGCATACAGCAGCAGAAACTTGTTTTCCTCAGTCTCACAGACCACCTGGAACTGTTGAAGCTGGTCTGGCCCAGGCAGCTGGGACTCCTGTAACTTGAGAGTAACCTAGGGAGAGGGTAGGCCTTTGGTCAAGCGGTAAAGAGGAGACCGAAATGCCACTGTGAGTCCCTGGCTCTCCAACCAAAGTGTAAGCACCGTGGAGCAGCGCAGGGATGCCCCGAAGGACTGTGGGTACCCTAAATTTCCTGTCCAATCTACAATCTCCAAAGGCCCCTAACTGTGTGGTTACTGTTAGTTTCTGTCCAGTTGGTTGTGATTCGTGTGTACAGAGCAGAACCGCTCCACAGGGTTTTCTGCAGGCTGGCTTTACAGAAGCAGAGAGCCAAGCCTGTGTTCCAAGTGCCTCTGAGTGAGTTCCTACTTTCAACCTTTTGGCTACTAGTTGAGTGCTTAATAACTTGTGCTACCCAAAGACTCCTTGTGGTATGAAGAGTCCATGAAACCACATGCATACTGAGATATAAAACAACGAGAAGAACTAGATGAAGAGGAGGAAAAAAAGAATAATCTGATACAATTTGATAAACTTGACCTACACCTATGGATGCAGTAGCTCAAATGAGGGAACAAATCTTTACAGCAAGGATCACTCCCACCGCCTCCATACACAGAGTATGGGTAACTTGGACATTGGCTCCCCAAAATGGGGGTGCTACAAAGGCAAGAAGTGACTGGCTTACAAGCTTTCAAGAGGGAACCTAAATCCAGAGGGCAAGGAGAAAGGTAGAATCTCCACTGAGTAGTATCTAATCTGTCTAGTAGTATCCAAACTGATGAAAGGAGATGGGGCTAGGTCTCTTGTGATACAACAGTGAATAACTGTTATCAGAACCAATTGTGAGGGTTGAGAATGTAACAGTAGACGTTTTGTAGCAACGAGGGGAGTGATTAACTTTGCAGTCTAGGAGCAGAGGTCACTGGAACCATCAAGGGAGAAGAGTGGAGAGCAGAACCCTCCCCAGAGAAGCAGTGATGCCTGAGATGGAGGCAGAGATGATGATGTGGAGAGATGGAGTGGCTGGGGATTTTAGACTCAGAGAGGAAGAGGGGCTGTATGCTGATGACTGGGGGGCAGGCTTGTATGGTATACCCTTTGGTTGGTTGATGATACATGGAGGGGATTATAACCATGGCAATGAAATGATATACGATAGGATGAATGTAAAACTAATGTTCTCCCATGTAAACGATCACATAATTCACAATAAAATATTAAAAAACAAAACAAGAACACAACAGTCACTATGCTGACAGAGAGGCAGCTCTACAGAAGGCTAATATCCACACAAGGCGAGACTCTCAGGTTTTTGGCTTTGTACCCCAAAGCAGCTTTTCTGTTCCTACTCATCAGACTTTCAGGAAAAGCCTAACTTGAAGGGGAAGAGTGATAACCCCAGACTACATCATAAGTATGCAGTGATACCAAGTAACTTTGGGAGTAAGGGTACTACTGGCTTTTACCAACCATTTCTGTGGCTCCAACTCCTCTGTGGTGTCCCTTACCGGGTTATGTAGCACCAGTTCTTTGAGGGCCTGCACATCCTCATTGAAAGTTGCCGACATAAGAAAAGTCTGGTAAATCCTGGGCAAGTGACTAAAACAGAGCAGAGTCCAGTCAGACCCCAGCCCCAGGGCCTCCAACTCATGATCGTCAACTTCTAGTTACTTGCTCTAGGCTCAAATCCTTGCTCATAAATTCTTGCACCTCTTCTTACCAGAGAAGACTCTTGAGTTCTTCCTCAAAGCCAAAGGAAAACAGAAGATCAGCCTCATCCAACACCAGGAGCTCCAAGGAGTCACGCAGCTTCAAGTTGCCTTGCTGCAGATGGCTGAATATGCGGGTTGGAGTCCCCACCACTACGTCTGGCTTCTCAATCAGCACAGATCTAACAGGCAAGAGCAGTACCCAGGACTGCGGCAACTGCAACCTCAGCACCATCAGCCCACGAACCCAAGCCCATGACTCTGTGTAGCTCCAACCCCCTGTAGCCCTGCTGCCTTCCCCACCTCTGAGAGGCCGAGTCTTCAGCAGCTGAGACATCAGCCACTTGGATGTCCCGAGCGCAGTAGGTCCCGAGCTGCTTTATCATGGCCTGTGCTTGCTTTGCCAACTCCTTGGTGGGCACAAGGACAAGGGCTCTCACGGCCTGTTCTACCACAGGGCCTGTCTGTAAGAAAACAAATAAAGACTTTCAGCAGCTGGCTCATGTGACTGTGGCCATCTATGTTTACCTCTGCTCCTTACAGGCGATCTGATCCACCCACTTCAACACAACTTAGCTGTGTTCTCATCAACCCCTCACGTACATATGCCCACCTTAGAGTACAGAACCAAGGGGTCTTTCCCCAAGTTGTTGTTGTTGTTAGGTGCCATTGAGTCGGTACCGACCCATAGAGACCTTATGCACAGCAGAACGAAAACACTGCCCAATCCTGGGCCAACCTTACTACTGTACAGACTCGTAAAAAGCATTGTTGTAAGTGCCGTGGAGTAGGTTCTGACTCATAGCCACCCTGTAGAAGGGCTTCCAAAGAACGGCTGGTGGTTTGAACCACTGGCCTTGCAGTTAGTAGTCCAGTGCTTATCCTACAGCACCACATCAGGACTCCTTAATAAGGACTGTTATTGTTTAATGTTGTTGAGTCGGTTTGAGTCATAGTGATCCTATAGTTTCCGAGGAGCAGCTGGTGGATTTGAACCACTGACCTTGCAGGTCAAACCAACCTTGCGGTCCAGTGCTTACCCTACAGCGCCACACCCAGGATAGCTTACTCTGTGGTTGAAGTCTTGGTGTGGCATTGTAGGAACAGCACTAAATGGCTAAACACAAGGTCAGCGGTTCAAACCCAGCAGCCGCTCCTCAGAAACCCTATACAGGGTCACGATGAGTCAGAACCGACTCGATGGCAATTCACAACAACAAGGTAGCGGTTCAAATCCACCAGCCACTCCTCGGAAATTCTACACAGACAGGGTCGCTATGAGTCTTAAGTGGATCGACGGCACTTATCAACAATACTTCGTGGTTATTAACTTACTTGAAATGTACCAGTTATGGGGCTGGAACCTCATAATGATTCTATGAAGTAGGAAGGGGAGATATGCCTCCTTTCCATAGAAGAAAACAGAAAGACGATTCCGAAACTGTCCATGTTTACAGGTGCAGTCGGCCTCGTAGTTTTCCCTCCCATGGGTTCGAACCGCAGACCTTGAGCCCAGCTACCCTTAATTCCAGCCCATAGCCTTTTCGAAGCCTCTACTGACCGGCCGCGCTCCGTACGCACCACTTTCCGGTTGAGCAGCAGCTGAAGCATGGGAAGCGCGTACGCGGCGGTCTTCCCCGAGCCCGTGCGGGCCCGCGCCAGCAAGTCCTTGCCCTCCAGGGCCAGCGGGATGGCCTTCTCCTGGATCAGGGTGGGTCTGCACCAGCCCAGGTCCGCGACGGCCTAGGGAGGGAGGGAGACACGCAGCGCGGGTGACGCGGAGAGCGGAGATGGCTTCAGGGCAGCGCTGCATGCAAAGCATGGCGCCGCGGCCTACCACCGTACCTGCAGGAGCCGGGGGTCGAGGCCCATGTGCTCAAAGCCTATCGTTGGGTCCGACATGCTGCTCAGAATCACACAGCGAACAGGCGGTAGGGAGACCCGGAAAAGAGCAAGCGCCTGTTAGAGCTTGAGCTTCCGGTGTTGGGATCCCGCCCCTAAGGTATCCACCGCGCGAAGGATTCCGGGAAGTCGGGGCGGAGAACTCGGGGAAGTCGAGGCAGGCGCTATCGCTGCAGGAAACCGGAGGCTAGTGTTGGCCTCAAAGCTCCTAGGGCGTCACGTTGTCCTTTCTCTGAGACTCCCTTGTTCTGCTTTCCTGACCCCTGAGGACCTGTGGGTGCCGATTTAAGACTTTGCGACGCTATCAGTCTTGGAGGGAACAGAACGACTCATCTCTCTCCAGCGTGATGGACTGGAACCACTGACGTTGTGATTCTCAGTGCCGTGCTTAACTTACGGAGCCACCATGCTCCCCTCTGGGGACTTTGGAGAAGGAAATATGAGTTCGTAATGGGAAGGGTTTGCAGGACCGACTTTGCTAGGTTAAGTTTCCGAATTTGGGATGAGGGTTAGGAGATTGTGAAAACGGAAGTACTCCAGTATCTGTTTCTACACGTGGATCAGACACCACCCCAAATTTGTCCAGACAATTGCTACTCAACGTTTTTCTTTCAATGAATGCTTTCTTTTTAACAGCCTCACCCCAATAGTAATGCTGTATATGATCATTAATGTTTTTTTTTTTTATGTTTTGTGAATTATGTGATTAGTTTACATGGGAGAATATTAATTTTACATCCATCCTATCGTATATCCTTTCATTGCTATGGTTACAATCCCCTCCGTGCATCATCAACCAACCAAAGGGTATAC